AAAAAAAACATATTTTGTTTGGAATAAACTGTGCATGTATGAACTGGAAAAAAAAAATTGGTTGTTATGCAAATTGCACACTACCCATGTTTTCTAGTAAGATTATATTTCTAGCAGGGCATTGACCTGTAATTTTCCCCTTCTAGTTATTGTCCCAGTTTACCCATATTTTACATACTCAGGTCCATTCTAGTTTTGCTTCATGGGTCATGACAGAATCATGTAAACCCTGCATTACATTTTCTCAAGAACTTGTTAGCAGTTAAGGAAAGATTTGCTTATTAAAAGAAACGTTCTACAAGGGTTATGGGAGTTGGGGAGGAAAATTATTCATGGGCTAGAGGGTAGACATAAGCTTAATATGGATGACCGGGCAGGCAATATACAATGAGAGAAGATGAAAGATGAAAGCAGGAGACTCAACAGGGAGGAATGCAAGAGTCAAAGGAAATGATACACGGAGGAGATTGCTATCATTGTAATGAAGCAAAGTATGATCTGCTCTGTAAACCTTCACTCAATTCATAATAAAACGTTTAAAATAAATAAAGCATTTTAGCTTATCTCTTTAATGCCATGATCTTCTGTGAGACACACCTTATTATCTGAACTCTATAGCTGACAAAACAAGCTAAAAAAGTTTAATTCTCCCAGTTTCTATGTGGGAGAACTATCATCAGAACTAAGATCTTCTTTAGGTAGTGAAATGGTAAAAAGAACAGGCTCTAGAGTCAAACTGCCTGGGTTCAAATCCACTTGGTAGCTGTGTGACCAAAAGCAACTATTTAATTTGTGTTACAAATATTCTTCCTGTCAAGGTCTCTTCAGGTAGTAAAATGTTCGTAAAAAGTGCCGGCTCTAGAGTCCAGCCACTACGTATATTCTTCTTGTCAAAAGAATATTTATATTTCTTGTTGTTGTTAACTGCTGTCAAGTTTGTTCCAACTTATAGCGACCTTGTACAATGTTTCTGAGCAGCAGCTGGTGGGTTTGAACTGCTGACCTTGTGATTCAAAGTCCAGTGCTGATCCTACAGAGCCACATTGAGAGTCTACAGATGTGCTATGGGGTCTCCCCCCATAAAACCTCCAACCAAGTATGTTCTTCTGGTTTACATCTTGCATTTTCCCAGAATTTTCAGAGGTTCACCTAGTTTAACATTTTTAAACCATTGGATCAAATTCATCTCTAAGATATTTTCTTACTATATGATTTTATTCTTCTTCTTTGAAGCCATTACCCTGTTCTCTTTCCTAAACATGTAAGAATGGATAAACAAACTGTGGTACATACACACAATGGAATATTATGCTACCTTGAAGAACAACAAGGAAGCTGTAAGCTATCACATAACATGGATAAACCTTGAGGACATTATGTTGAGTGAAATTAGTCACTCGCAAAAGGAGAAATACTGCATAGGACCACTACTATGAAAGACCAAGAAAAAGAACCCATACTAAAGGGGCAGTGGAAGATTCTTTGCTGGTTACAGGGATTTAGGGGGTGGGGTGAGGGGAGGAGGGGAAGGTGGAGCACAGGGCAGGGAACAGACACAGGATAGTTTGGTTGCTAGGGAGGGGGGCAATACATAAGAAGGGAGAGGGAAATGGAAGAACAAGACGGATGGGAAAACAATTAGGCAGGTTTGCATGGGCTAAGCGGACAGAGGTAAATAATGATATATGCACAACCCTGGAACAACAGGGCTCTGGGATACAGGGATTGAGACATGGTTGGAATGGGAAAAAGGGCAGAAATAATGTTAAGATGCTTGGCTGGCTTTTGAATCTTGGTTTCCCTTGCATACCATTATAAAATAGACACTTGAGGGGGAGAGAAAGGAATAGCCAGAAATATCACCATAGAAAGCTTGTAAGTCCATCTTCTGCCTATAACGGATTTAAATTCCTAAAATGGGGCTAGAACATGCCCGGTAAGGGAGACTCCCTGTAGAGCCTCTGCATTACACAAGACCATAGGTGGGATCCTGAACCTCACCCAGAATCTTCTCAGGTGGGAAACTTCCTCTTGAAAGGACAAGCAGACCAAGCTGGAGTGGCTAGGAGAACAGAAGAGACTTCTTGCAAGAAAGACCGACAGGAAAAATACTAACAGTAACAGCAGTCCGACTGATTACTACAAGAACAAGCAATTGGCTCACCTAGTCATCAAGGCAGGTGGTCAGGTCCCCTCAGGGCAAACCTCCTTCCAAGGCTCTAAGACTCAATGGGAATACACGCTGTGATTGGTGACCACGTTCGTCACCAACAAGGGGAAGTGAGGGAAAAATAGCAATGAAGCTGTGAGCTAAACCCTACAACTAGCTAAGCCCTACATCGTTCAATAGACTCCTGTGAACCCAGGTGGAGACCTGGTTTGCCAGCATTGTGGCAAGACCTGGGGACTCTTGGGCCCAGAGTCAGTGACATAGCCACAGAGGACTACAGTGGAGAGTGAAGCGTCCAGCTGATAAGAAGAGAGGGCATATGCATAGAACACCCACACTTGCACATAATATCCACTTATCCTGGCTTCAGTGACTGGATGATCAGAGCTCAACTAGAAGAAGAAAGAAGAGGGAAAAAAAAGAGTAATCTGATACAGTTTGATAAACTTGATATACATCTATGGACGCAATAGCTCAAATGAGGGAACAAATCTTCACAGCAAGGATCATACCCACCCCCTCCAAACACAGAGTAGACAGTAATGGGCAACTTGGACATTGGCTACCAAAATGGGGGGGCTACAAAGGCAAGAAGTGACTGGCTTACAAGCTTTCAAGAGGGAGCCTAGATTCAGAGGGCATGGAGGAAGGTAGAATCTCCATTGAGTAGTATCCAACCTGTCTGGGAGGGGCTCATGAAAGGAGATGGGGATAAGTCTTTAGTGGTACAATGGTGAATATCAGGACTGACTGTGAGGGTTGGAAATGTAAAGGTAGACATTTTGTAGCAAAAGGAGGGGAGTGATTGACTTTGCAGTCCAGGAGCGGAGGTCCCTGGAACCATCAAGGGAGAAGAGTAGAGTGCGTTACCCTACCCAGAGGCCAGAGATGGTGGCAGAGATGATGATATGGAAAGATGGAGCAGCTGGAGACTCTAGACATAGAAAGGGAGAGGGGCTGTGTGCTGAGGACAGGGGGGCAGGCTTGCGGGGTATACCCTTTGGTTGGTTGATGGAGGGGATTGTAACCATGCCAATGAAACGATATACGATAGGACAACTGTAAAGCTGATGTTCTCCCATGTAAACTATCACATAATTCACAATAAAATATTTAAAAATAATAATAACGTAGAGTATTAAAGTTAAAAAAACAACAACATTCCATATGAAAAAGGGCACAAACATAATAAAACAAGGAAAAGATAAAAAGTATATATTAAATACACATAAAAAGGAAATACAACTTACCCTGATACAGCTGAAACAACAAAGCTTGGAACAATGAGGGCATAGGCGTGCATCCCTCAACTTCTCCATACAAATGAAACATCGGAAAACCTCAGCAATGCTCTGACAATAATGAAAGATAGAAGGTCCACCAGATTAGGTTACTAAATCAAGAGTAAAAACATACTTAAAATATTTATGCTTATTTTAGGTTAATAACATCTCAGACTTAATTATATTCTTATCAGGACTTGGTTAGTCAAGGCCCAAGATACTTTATAAATGTTGGGAAAAAATGCTTCCTTTTTTTGTAAGCTTCACAATAGTACTATTCTAAGGGATATGAAATGCAAACATAAATTTATGCATAAATATTTAAGCTGAAACTTTAATTTTTAATCATAATGGCAAAAACCTGGCTATGGTCCAAATGTCCAAGCATAAGAAAAATGATTAAGTAAATTTTGGCAATTGTACATGAGCTATGTATGATACAGTTATCAAATTATTTAATGATACAAAAAATTGCAGAAAAAGCAGCAGCCTATAGGATTGAGTGTACAATATGAACGCTTGGCTTTTTCTGCAACTTTCCAAAGGGGGATAAATTACTTTTATGATTACACACAAACACAAACTTGTTAAAAAAAAATTTACTGCTCCAGAAAGAAATCCAAGTCAAAACGGAGAATAATGAATTTTTGCCCTTAAGTGACTCTGAAATTCTAATCATGAGAATTTTGGTGGTAGTGTTATGAGGCTTTAAAAAGCAAAAAGAAAAATTATGTAAACTGATGAAATAGTATTATCTCCTCAAGCCTCAGAAGAAAATAATGTAGGAAGTAACTGATAAGTTATAAGAGGAGATAAAATTAAATATCCTTTAATTATCTTTTGGTTTTATCCCTTTTGGAACGTTTACATTACTCTGTTATAGGGGAAATAAACTCATCTAAAACCCAGGTAATTATGACTCTGCAGGGTCTGAAAGAACCTGTGGGATGTAGATTCTGTAACTGACTTTTGGAGGGCAATTAAGACCTTGAAGTGAACTAGTCCGAAATGGTCAGTTTATTGGCTTCAGAACACCTAGGCACAGAGTCCCTTTTACTAAGAAGCAAGAATTTAGTATTTCAGTATTTGGAAGATTAAAAATGAGTAATGTCTACATAATTTTGCCCAATATTTTAAAATATTCGAACCATTTGAGATTACAGCTTAATTGGAGTCAGATATGGAACAGAACAGCTCGTTCTAGAAACTACAGTCAAATGGGAATACTACGAATATATCCTCATTCAATCAAGGGGCAGAACAGTCTGCAAAATATGCCGCTGAGATGAAAGGTGATTATCCATCCAGAGGAGAATTCGTATCGACGCAGGAACTACTATAGTCGCAACCGGTGGCAAGTCTGATGAATTTGCAATTTTCCTCTGCACAAGCTGTAGTTGGTCAATACCCTACACGGTTGAGTACCAGTGTCAAGGCATCCTTGAAAACGCCAGGATACGTACCACCTGACTGCAGAAAGCTCTGAGCTTAAGGCAGCCTGAGGGCTGCAAACGCAACACCGCCCCTTCGCACCCGCCAGCCCTCTCTACAGCGGCAGCGGCGGCGTGACAGTGCCGGACTAGAGGGGAGAAGAGGGGCAAGACACACAGAAATAAAAAACGCTCGTCAGAGAGCGGGAGGAGAGTAGCCACCACCCTTCTCAAGCCCTCTCACCTCCACGCTCTGTTCATCCATTGCCTCAAGCTCTCGGCGAGGGCCTCGGCGACCCGAGGAGTCCGTGATCCGACCTATTAGGCACCGGCCCGAGGTCGCCAGGTCAGATCCGCCGCGGAGAAAAGCCCGATGCCCACATCAGGAAGCTTCTACCACCGTCCCACCTGCGCGCCCCATCGCTGCAGATTCGGCACCGGCTACCCCTACTTCGCCATTTTTTATTCGCGCGCCCGCCCCGGGGCGCAGGGGAGGGCAAGCGGTGGCCGCAGCTCCTTCCTCCTGACTCAGTCGCCCGCTAGAGACAGCCAGGGAGCTTCGGCACACGTGACGCGGGCGCGCGCGTATCAAACAGCCACTAGAGCATGGCGGCGCCGGTCTCAAGCGAGGAAATCGCGGCAAAGAATTCGCAAACACCAACGGTAACCAGGGCAGCTGTAGGCGCGGCGGCGCAGTGCGCATGCGCTCTAGACGCTACGGGACGGGCAGAGAGGCGGGTGCTTTTTTAGTTCCCGCGGATCGGGGACGCACAGACGAGACTGTGGCCGGTGCAGGTTTGCGTGCCTGCGGCCAGTGGTAGGCTCCTGCAGCCGGGTCCCTTGTGGTTTGTTGCGTCCCTACCCGCCGCCAAGGGAGGGGCGGTGCTCCGTGGTCTCACACTTTTACGCGCCAAAGACTGGAGCCACTTGGAGTGTTTGACGAAAATGCAGATTCCGCGGTCCCACCACTAGGAATTCTGATCCGTGATTCTAGGCTTGGGACCCCAGGAAACACATTTTCAACAAACACGATTTGGCTACGGGTGATCCGTGGTCGCCTTTTGAGAAACCCTGGTGCTGAGAATTGAGACTAATGACCTATCGAAGAAAGCCCTAGATTCTAAGGGTTTTAATTGAGCCTTCTGCCACACCTAGTGGCAGTGGTGAAAATGCTTGACTGCTAACCCAAGCAATCTCCGGCTTGGACACATCAGCCACTCTGTGTGGGATAAAGATGTGGTAGTCATCTTGTTTATAAAGATTACAGTGAGAGCTGTCTACTCATAGGGTCGCTCCCTATGATTTGTATTGAACTGAAGGGTTGGGTTCCACCCACTGCAGCAAAAATGGGAAAGTTCCTAATCCTAAAGCCTACAGTTGTTAAGTGCCGTGGAGTCGATTTCGACCCACAGTGACCCTGTATAGGGTTTCCAAGGAGCAGCTGGTGAGCTTGAAACGCCGACCTTGTAGTTCAAACGGCTTTGCAGTCTGGTGCATTAACCCACAGCGCCACACTAGGACTGCAAAGCCTACAGGGAAGTGTCATTTCTCATCAAGGGTTGAGGGAAAAGGTACCACAGGCTACTAAACGACATCAGGCCCATACCCCACCGCACCTTTCAGGTCTCCTCATGAGATGATGCCATGGGAGACTATGGAAAAAACGTTATTAAAAAGCTTTCTAACTGGTGACTGATTTCTACAGATTTTGCTGTTATCTGCCGTTGAATCGGTTCAAACTCACAGCAACCAGATACAAGGTTTCCGAGGAGCAAATGGTGAGTTTGAACTGCTGACCTTGCGGCTCAAAACGTCCTTGAAATCCAATGCTTATCTTACAAAAAATTTAAAGAACTGAAGGTGTGAAACAATGGGCTTAAATTGGATTCTTTAGTTATCCCCAACTGCTTTGTTGCAACCATCTATTTATTACACTTAGCCCACCCTAGGGTGTACATGTAAAGAGAATTACCTAAAAATAAGTCATTAATACCAGTATTAGTGGGCAACAATTTTTTTTATAAGCTAAGACTCAGGAAGATTAATCTAATGCTGAAAAATTCCATCATTGAAAATTATCTATGAGCCTGTAACTAGAAAGGTAATGATTGCACAACATTGTGAATATCCTCCATGCAACTGAATTACACATTAAAAACATGGACACTGACACACACACAACTAACAAGTGCAAGTAAATACTCATTGTTAGGTGCCCTGGAGTCAGCTCTGACTCATATCAACAGTATGTATAACTGAGTGAAATGTTGCCCCACCATCTTCGTTGCTGTTTGAGCCACAGTATCAATGTTAAGTGCCATCGTTGAGTTGGTTCCAACCCATAAAGACCCTGTATAGGATTTCCGAGGAGCAGCTGGTGAGCTTGAACCACCAACCTTGCAGTTCAAATGGCTTTGCAGTCTGGCACATTAACCCACAGGACCACACCAGGACTCCATGTTTGAGCCACAGTGTCTATGTTGTTGTTGTTGTTAAGTGCCATCGAGTCGGTTCCGACCCATAGCGACCCTGTACAGGGTTTCCGAGGGTGTAAATCTTTACGGGAGTAGAAAGCCTCATCTTTCTCCCGCGGAGCGGCTGGTAGTTTCGAACCGCTGACCTTACGGTTCACAGCCCGATTCGTAACCACTACGCTACCAGAGCTCCGGCTTGCTCTTCTTCAAGACTTTTTACAAAGCATGCCTCCAGGAATTGATCCCTAATAACTACAAAATAGGCAAGATAAAATCTTACTAGCCTTACTTCTAAGGAGCTTTCTGGTTGCACATCTTCCAAGACAGATTTGCTCGTATTTCAGGCAGTCCATGGTATATTCTTCACCAATATCACAATTCAAATGTGGCAACTCTTCTTCAGTGTGACTTTTCATTGGACACTTTTTGCATGCATATGTTGTAATTGTTAAGTGCCGACCCATAGCGACACTGAACAGGGTTTCCGAGGCTGTAAATCTTTGTGGGAGCAGAAAAGCCTCATCTTTCTCCTGCAGAGCAGCTGGTAGTTTCGAACTGCTGATCTTGCGGCTCACAGCCCCGATTCGTAACCATTACGCTACCAGAGCATACATATGAGGGACTGAAAATACTATGGCTTGGACTGTAAAATGGTAAGTTGGCAACAACAGAAAGAGTAACTGCTGAGGCTGCTTATGTACAACCAAAAACCTCATGGGATTTGGTTCCTTGGTTTGGAGGTTTTGGGTCATGGTTTTATGGGCTATCCAGTTAATTGACCTAATTGTTAGTATTAAGCATATAACAAAATGATTCTCTTCTACCTTCTGGTTCACCTCATAGTGCCTGGGTCTTAAAAGCTTGCTAACAATCATCCAGTGCACAACAAATGGTCTCTATTTACTTGGAGCAACAGAGGAAGAAGTGAAGTTAAGAATAGAAGAGGTTGTTTGAAAAAGAAAACTCCCCCCCTTTTTTAAAGGGCTGGAACCATGAAGGGTGTTGAAAAGAAAAAGAAGATTCCTGCTGTGCTAGAGACCCTTAAGAAATAAACGACGGAATTTTGCAGAACTAAAGATCAATCAAGCCTCTGAGATAGAAGTTTGCCCAAAAGATGCTTCAAAAGGCACACTATCACAAGGAATATAGACAGATGCACAGAACTGAGATTCAAATGGCTAGGATGGCAAGAAAAGCAGGCAACGTCTTTGTACCTAGAGAACCTAAGCTGGCATTTTTTATAAGGATCAGAGGTATCACTGGTGTGAGCCCAGAGGTTCGTAAGGTGTTGCAGCTTCTTCGCCTTAGTCAGATCTTTAGTAGCAACTTTGTTAAGCTCAACAAGGCTTTAGTTAACATGCTGAGGATTATGAACCATATATTGCGTGGGGACACCCAAACCTGAAGTCATTGAATGAACTGATCGACAAACATGATTATGGTAAAATCACTGAGAAGCGAATTTCCCTGACAGATAGCTTGCAGACTTCACATTCTATTGGTAAATATGGCTTTATCTGTATGGAGAATCTGATTCATGAGATCTACACTGTTGGGAAATGGCTCAAAGAAGCAAATTATTTCCTATGGCTCTTCAAATTGTCTTCTCCATGCGATGAAATAGAAAAAGACCACCCATTTTGTTGAAACTAGAGATGCTGGCAACAGGGAAGACCAGATCAACAGGCTAATAAGTATTATTGGAAGGATGAACTAAGGTGTCTACCAGGATTTTTGTAATCTGGTCAGCTAATGAAACAGTAAATGCTTTCAAACTGAAGAAAAACAAAAGACTAGAAAGAAGAAATGTGTGGCTAATTGCCTTCATGAAAAACTTCTTCTTTTGTCATAACACCTGAAGAACTGGATGGTACCCAGCTACTATTGCTGAACACTTTCATCAGAGTCCATAGAAGAATCCTGAACAAAAGAGGAAAAATGCAGAACAGAATTTCAAATACACATGAAATCTATATTTTTCTGGAGCCATGGAGGTTGGATGAACCCCTGAAACTATTGCTCTAAGAAAATCTAACAAAAATATCCCTAGATGTCATCTTAAAACCAAATAGTTTAGCTTAATTAGTTAAAAAGATTTATTTAGATTGGTTCAAACTGAGAACAACCACTCAAAAAATTAGACAGGAAGGTCAGGGGACAGTGAATTTAATGTTAATGAGGAAGGAGCAACTCAGAAAAGGGTGAACACGTTGCCCAACTCAAGGAATGTAATCATCACTAAATTGTGCATGTAGAAACTGGTCATGGTGTGTGATTTGCTATGTATTTTTTCATCAACAAATTTAGGAAAAAAAATATTATGGCTTGGGTCAGGTAGGTATATGTTAGTGATCAAAATGACATCTTTGCCATGGGAATTGACTATTGATCTCAGAGAATTCAATTCTTGACCATATTATTTATGTTACTGTTGTTGTTAAGTAATGTCCAGTCGGTTCCAACTCATAGTGGCCCTATGTAGGGTTTCCAAGGAGTAGTTGGCGAGTTTGAACTACCAACCTTGTGGTTCACACCAACCTTGCAGTCAAGGGCTTATTCTACAGCACCACACTAGGACTCCATTACCTGTCATATATTTAAAACAATTACAATAATACAGAATGAAGGTCAAAAAAGTTAGTACTGAAAAACAGCACAAACATTCTAAAGCAACGCTTGAACACAGTTCAATACTGTTTAACATTAGCAGGCAGAGGACTAGGAAAAGAAACAAAAGTGAGGCTATCACAGAGAAGTAAGCTTATTATATTAGTTAGGTTTTGTAGACCAGAGATCTTAGTGTTAGGAGTCTCACCAATAACGCAACCACATCTTCAGTCAACATTTTTAGAAATGAAACACATATACATCTATATGATAATCTATGATATAAATATTGCATCTTTTCTTCTGATTGCATGCTCAGTCACATTTTGACTGGTAGTACATAAAACATCCTTTACAATAGATCAGGATATCTACATCATACATCCCAATTATACAAACAGAAAACAGGCAAAAGAGTCGAAAGAAATTTTCTTGCCTAAAATACTATGCTAAGTAGGAATGTGCATTGTAAATCCCTTTATTCCTCTTCTATCCTTTTGCTGAACTTTATTCATATAATATCTGCTTTTCTTCTTATAGTCCCCTCTTGTGAAAGGCATCACTATCCAGTCAGCCACCCTAAACCTCACAGGTCTCCCCCACCTCCAGTCAGCAAGTTTAAGACATCTTCCTAAATTTCTTTGATATTCATCTCTTCTCCATTAGAGTTCCCTTTGGCAAGTGCATTTCTTCACAAGTCTGGCACATGAGACTTTAATTGCTTTTCTGCAGTTTTCTCTTCTTCAGTCAGTGGTAATAGCTAGAAAAACAAATGACAAAATCTTTAGTTCAAAAATTTTTAAAGACTAGTAAGTTAATTTAGTTAACTCTTACTCTGGTGCACCTACAAATATTACCATAAGCTTTTACTATGTAATAATCACAGATTTAGAAGGGCAGGAAGAAACATATTTGGCTATTTGGAGAATACTGAAAGTGCCGTGGGCTGCCAAAAGAACCAGTAGATCTGTTTTGGAAGTACAGTCAGAGTGCTCCTTGGAGGCCAAGATGGCTAAACTTCATCTCTCATACTTTGGACATATTATTAGAAGGGACCAGTCGCTGGAGTAGGATATCATGTTTGGTAAGGTGGAGGGTCAGAGAGAAAGAAGAGCCTCAACGAGATGGATTGGCCAAGTGGCAGCATTGATGGACCCAAGCGTGGCAACAGTAGTGAGGTTGGCCCAGGATCGGGCAGTGTTTCGTTCTGCTGTGTATAAGGTAGCTATGAGTTGGTACCAACTCGATGGCACCTAACAACAACATACACGGCATATGAAGTCCGAGCTTACAAAAATCTTGCAATTAAATTGAAAAAATAAGACGGAAGTCAAACATTGTACAGACTATAATTTGTTAACAAAAGAAATCCTGTTTGAGTGCCACTTTCTGAATGTATAAAGGAAAAAAAGAGTGTGAACAGAAAGATCCTAGAAGTTTTCCCACAGAAGTAGAGACTTGGACTAAATGTTGAAAGATAATTACAATGCTTCTAGCTCAAATCAGTGAAACACATTTCAAAATAGCTTTATAGTTTATTATACCTTTTCACTTATCAACTGTCTTGTTATCAAGCATTTTGCATTTATGACAATAGTAAAAAATCGACTACCAAACTATTTTGTGCAATTAAAACATACATCTGGCCTTAAACAATCTGAGTAATGCTAGCTGTGATGGTTAAAGTTATGTGTCAACTTGGCTGGGCCATGAGGCTTAGTGGTTTGGCAGTTATATAATGATGTAATTGGGCAATAATGTAATGATGTATTCATCTTCCATTTTGTAACCTTCTATTTACACATAATGCCAATTTTCACATTAACAACCTTGTCTTTGCAACGTAATCATATCACTAAGTGAGGAACAGGAACATTACATATCACTTTAGAAGTGCTTCAGAGCTGATTTATTCACCATCTCAACAAAGTAAGTCTAGTTTTTTCCCATCTTGTAGCTCTAATATCCTTGACAGTGACTTTATCCTCAAGCTGACAGCAAAACAGTTAGCTGTAATATCTATACACAACATCGAAAACAAGAAAAGAAACTTTCTGTTCCCCAGGTTCTTTCAGCAGTAAGGAAACTCTCCATAATTACCCAATAACACACTTTCCATCTTCACATGCCATTGGGTTGCAAGTCCATTCCTGAACTAATGTTGCCTAAAGGTAAATCCTTTCCCTCTGTCAACAAGGAACTGAGGATGGGGTCAGCTTCACCTCAGGCATGTGGCTGTGAGGAAGAGCCCACATGAAGAAAGCCAGTGCTCTGATAGGCAGCAAGGGAAAAGAGATGCTGAGAAAGCAACCAGTCAGCAATACTCACGAAAAGTAGGGAAGAACAAAACTACAGAGGAAGAAGGGAAGTTGCTATGGACTTTCACAAAGCACCAACACACAGCTGGCTCAAAGGATTATATGGAAAAATCACAGAAGCTACAAACTGAAGAGTCACTCAAATAGTTATAAATCTGCCCAACTATATAGGTCATCTCTAAAGAGACTGCCAAATCTGGAACAACCTAGACCTACAGAATCTCTAGGGCCATACTGTACAAGGGAACTTTCCATGATGCTGGAAATACTTTATAGCTATACTATCCAACAGGTAACTAAGAAACCCAAAATTTTAATTTTAGACAATAAAATATTTTCAGTTTAATTTCTATTTATATTACCAATGAGACAATTAAAAGCCCTGGTAGCATAGTGGTTACACTTTGAACTGCTAACCACTAAAGGTCAGCAGTTCAAATCTACCAGCCGCTCCGTTGGAGAAAGATGAGGCTTTCTGTTCTAAAGATTTACAGCCTTGGAAACCCAATATAGGGTCACTGTGAGTCAAAACCAACTCCACGACACACCATCACCACTACCATGTGACTGACTACTGCACAGCCCTGCTCTAGATAAAGAGCTCCAAAGCCTAATGATTCTGAGAGGTAACCAGTTTGGGTAACTACTAAACAAGCTCTTATTTTACTAAAATGTTCATTCAAATGGGGAAATAAAAGAAAATCATATACTTTGCGCAACCCAAATATGTCTCTCTTCTATCCTTAAAAGGAGTCCTGGTGTGGCACTGTGGGGTAATGTACTAGACTGTAAGATTGGTTTGAACGGCAGGGTCTGTGGTTCAAATTCACCAACCACTCCAGGGTTGTTATGAGTCAGAACCAACTCGATGGCACTTAACTACAATAAACCCTTAAAAGAGAAGGTGTTCTGGTGCACAGTGGTTACACATTAGGCTACTAAAAAAAAGGTTAGCAGTTCAAATCTACCAGCAACTCAACTGGAGAAAAATGAGGTTTTCTGATCCCATAAAGATTTACAGCCTCAGAAACCCTATTGCTATCGTTAAGTGCTGTTGAGTCAGTTCTGACTCATAGTGACCTTGCATAGGGTTTCTGAGGAGCGGCTGGTGGGTTTGAACTACTGACCTTGAGATTCAAACTGACCTTACAGTTTAGTGCATTATCCTGCTGTGCCACACCAGGACTCCCAGAAATCCTATACAGGGTCACTTTGAGTCGAAATCAACTCAATGGCACACCACCACCACCCTTAAAAGAAGGCTATGGGACTATTCTAGCAAGACTGATTTGTTTTCCAGATGTAAATGTTGCTCTCCAAGAGTTTTCAGATCATCTGTTTAATAAACCTTCAAATAATTTTTCCAGAGATTAAGGTCAAATAACCATTCTAAAGTTTGTTTGGAGTACCAATGGAATACTACACCTTCTATTTTGAATGCTGCTTTTATTTTATTTTTGTTATTTTTCATTTTTAGGTTCCCCCCTTTTTTGTCATTTAATGGTCACATTTGTAATTAAGCATACTTAATATCTTGGTGGATGCTGTAGAATACGCACTGGACTACTAACTACAAGGTCAGTAGTTCAAACCCACAGCTGCTCCTCAGAAACCCTATACAGAGTCACTTAAGAGTCAGAACCAACTTAGCAGCACTTAAAGACAATGATATTAACTAAGAAAGATAAAGAAGTCAGACTGTACTCCCTGCCTTTCACTTCCTCCTCTGTTCTGATCGCCTTATTTATGATTTAATATTATCAGTTCACATGCTTCTCAAAAGACATTTTCCTACCATTCTAAATGGAAAATCACTCATTAATAAAGACTGTTGCAAGATAATGCCTGAATAATTTTACTTCTTCTTCTCTACAAACAAAGCGCCATTCTTCTTGCTCTTCATGCTTCCAAAATAATTTTAAAGATCATTTTGATTATTTTAGAAAACTTCAAAGGCCTCAGCTCAGTCTGGCCTTTGTCTTTCCTAAGTTCTCACAGGTCTGTCCCTATAACTGATGTACACCTTTTTATACTTGATATTCCTTTAAAAAGTCTGTCTAACCTTGCATAGCCCAGGCTCATGTACCTACTCTCGGTTATACGGCTCTCTGCCAGCACTATTTCCTTTACTATAACTCATGTAAGATAGCATATTACACCAGCATTTTCATAATTATCTTTATCTCTCACTTTCTTTGTGGCAGAATACATATAACAAAATATTTGCTATTTCAACCACTTTTATATGTACAATTCAGTGGCATTAATTACAATCATCACTACTATCCATTTCTATCACTCCAAATAGAAACTCAGACTCCTTTAAAGTGGTAGATTTCATGAGTATTAGCAAGTTTTCTTTTCTGGCATGATTACATAATGAGGGCAGCACATCTCTTTGTTAACTATGTCAAGCAAAACAGGAAATAAGAATGTCAGCTTCTACACTTTAGAGAATTCAAGAAAATCTCATTTTTATCAGAAAATTGCTCAATTTCAAAGCACAAGTTACTTAGGGTTTATCTTTCAGAGTGGCATTCAGAATTAAAACTACTTGTCAATCCAAAACATTACCTACATTTGGAACCTTATCAGTTCTTGGCGGGAATGCAAAATGATACTAAGAAAACTAAAAATATTACCTACCAATTCAATTCCTAGGTATGTACTCAAAATATTTCAAATACTCAAAAAGATACTTGTCCTGGTATGTTGCTGTAGGATAAGCATAGGGCTGCTAACCACGGGATCAGTAGTTCAAACACACCAGTGGAAACCCTATACAGGGTGGCTATGAGTCAAAAACAACTCAACGGCACTTGAAAGCAACAACATTCACTGCCCCAGCATTCCAAAATGGGAACAAACCAAATGCCCATTAATGAATGAATAGATAAGCAAACTATGGTATACACATAGAATGTACTACTACTCAGCCAGTAAAAGAAATGAAGTCTTGATGCTTCTCACAATATGGATATACAGCTTGGGGACATTACACTGAGTAAAATAAGGGCAAATATTGTATGACCTCATTTATAAAACAAGACTAGAACAAGCAAATGTTTAGAGTCCCAAGTTTACTAGTGGTTATCAGGGCCAATGGGAGGGGTACCATGGTGTGACGGCTTATACAGCACAGAGTTTCAGTTTGACGTTACGTTGTTATGTGCCATTGAGTCCATTACAACTCATAGCAACCCTGTATAGAGTTTCCAAGGGGCAGCTGGTATGCTTGCAATTAACAGTCCAGTGCTTATCTTATAACGTCACACCAGGACTCCAAGTTTCAGTTTACATGATGCATACATAATTAAGGATAGGTAGGGTTGGACCACTGATTTATGTAATTACTGTCAATTAAGTTGTACACCAATAAAAAGATGACATGGCAAAAGTCATGCGATAGATACATAAACAACAATAACCCCGGCAACCAGCA